TTGCGGGCCATCCTGCGTGCCACATGCGCGGCTTGATGCCACTCGGCGATGACCCGACCCTTGGCCGTAGTTTGCATGCTGTCAGCACACACAGTTAAGGAGAGGTGAGGAGGGATGGATGGATGGATGGGTGGGTTCTGAGCGAAGCCCGCTGTTTTGGGCGTATTGGGATTAATGATCTAGGTAAGGTAGGTACTGTTTTGATGAGGGGATACCTACCGTAGGCTAGTGGTTCTTCATAGTAGTAGTCGAAGGGGGAAATATGTGTGTGCCTCTCCTTGGTCCATTGAATGTGATGATGTTGATGCTGCAGTACGACGAAACCTTTCTTCCCCCTGTCTGTCCGGCCCCCCTCCCGTGAAATAAGTCGGGTCAACGGCACGAGTAGATAGAGGAGGTCCGCCAGCCGAACTGTTGTGCTGGATGATGTCGGAGGTTAACGAAGGGCTTTGATGGTTTCTCGGCTATAGTTGAACGAGCCGGAGATGGTGTGGCCTTCTCCTTCCTTCTTCTTTCTTTCTCTTTTTGATATCGCATCACATCATGATGGCGGTGGGGAAGGGATGAAGGGTGAGTTTCCCTCGCAGCAAGGGAAAGAAGGGAGGGGTCGTGGGGATGGCGGGAAGCGATCCGGGACCAACTGCGTACCGACAGGCTGGTTCTGTGATGTGCTGTTGGTTTGGTGACCCGGTCCGGTGAGGTACCTGTTGGTATTCCCCCCTGGCTTGGACCTATTGGATGTTCCAGCAGCAAACTGTACGCTGTGGCCTTCGAGGAAGGTGGAATAGGAATTCAGATGCATCCCGTGAAGGCGCAAGATACCTCTACATGGTCGCTTGCTCACTTCAGGTAGCTTATATCCCTAGCACGATGTTGCTGTTCAGGTTTCTTCTAGATAAATGGAAAGCCAGGGGCGTTGTGGCGGTTTGAACCATCTCATCTACCTAGGTAGGTAGTACTGATAGTAGGTACTACTAGATCTCTCCACATACGTACACCGGCGTTTTAGCATAGAGCCGAGCACACATCAGACGGTCCGGAGAACTTACCTCCCCGAAATCGAGCAGTGTACTTTACTCCGTACAACCCCAGAGCTCTTTTTGACGTGTCTCTCTTTTTGCCTGCACTGCTCAGTAGATTGTCAGCAGTTAACCTTTCCTGAGCCATGACCGGTGTAGCGTAGCATTCGATTCCCTGTACGGGACGCCAATTGCTTCTTACTGTTATTGCTTTTTGTATGTGATGTATTTTGTTCCTCCTCTCTTGTCTCGTGTGTTTCCTATCTCTGTTTGTTGTCCCTGTTTTCCCACATCTTGCCTGTTGTTATACGCCTGTTTTTATACGTCACCTTTCCCCTCCAAGTCCCGCACTCTTGCTTTTTGCACTCGAGGTTTGCCGGCCTCGAAACATTTGGAGTAAACCAAACAGGGTTGTGGGGGAGAAGGGAGGAACTAGATGGAAGGTAGATGATCCCAACCTCCGGGCATTCAATGCATTTGGTACAGGTAGACATGGAGGGCACACACTGTCAGGATCCCATACATACCTACCTACCTACCTACATACACCATTGTTGGAGAGAAAACGATGCCTTACACAGTGGATACTATCAGTGGAATTTCCTAGGTTTGCTCTTGCTGTCTGCCCGGATAGGTCGCAGTCTACTAGGTAATGCAGACCTACCTACATACACAGGTGTGTACTTGCACCTATGGTAGCGTGGCGCGTTGAAACTGTCTGCTGGAACCTGGAGCCCGCGTGTCAGGTGGCACATCCATCGTGTGTGGCTGCGCACACATAACTAGGGGATTCTTCTGGATGCCGCGGGGGACGGGAGGTTGGGCTTGTGAGATGATGGATATTGATATTGGGCGGGTCGAGGGAAGACGGAGAGGAGGCAGGGATGCGGAGAGGTATAACCCGACACGTTGTATGTCCAGCGAGGCAGTGGGTGGTGTGTCGATATCGGGGTGGCCTACGGGGGAAAGGAAGCCTCGTGGAAAGGGCAAGACGGCTAGGTGTTTGGGGTAGGCCCCTGGTCCTTCTGCCCTGGCCTGGGAATGTCATTGTTGCTAAGGTACTTAGACAACTTGCCAACTTCCAAGCAACGACGTCAAGCTAGGAAATTAATCCCGGAATTGGCATGGCTGAAAGATCGGGATGGCGTCAACGCAGGTTGGTGTCAAACCTTTCCCGCATCGACGGCAATGCTCGTGATGCACGCTCGGGTAACATATACCTGTCTCATTGGTTGGTATGGGGTGAGTATCAGTTGACCTCAATGGTGGTGGGCTATCAACGACCACTTGGGATATCCCACGCTCTTGAGACAAGTAACCGACGTTATAAACCCAGGGTACTTGACTGCTGGTGCCACATGCTGTTCCTTTGACTCTCGAATCTGTCATTGTAGGTGACACTGAGACTCGAGACCTCGTCGCCGAAAGAGGTTTAAGACATGTCCTGGTGATATCTCGAGGCCGAGCTCCGGCGCGATAGACTGCCCCTCTACACCAGGGCCAGTCGCTTTACGGTGAATACCATCCGCCCACCTTTGGTGCCCCCGGATGAGACGAATACGAAAGACTGCGCTAGCGGTTTGCTTGAGAGTCGTCAGGACCTAGGTGCGTCCTAGCCTGAGTCAGAGCATGCTCGAAGCAGCTGGGGCAGCCAAACCCAAGACCGGCAATCCTAGATGGTCATGACAGTTGCACCACTTTTTAGAGCATGAGACTCAAGGAGAGGGCACGGAGCCAAAACACCACTTCGAGGTCATAAGGCCAAGGGGCCTAACAGAGCACGAGGACGAACGACACATGAAGCACCCTTGGTGCGGGCTTTTCCCTGCTGATTGTTCGAATATCTTCGCGGGGATAGGAGTCTCGTGCCTTAGTTGCCTTTGTGGGCGGGCCGATCAGCAGTGCGGGGGACAAGGCCGCCCGCCCGTTGCGCCGAGCAAACGCGCCTGGACGAGTCTACCTATGGCATTGTCAGTTGTCCAATCTGTACGGAGTACGGATACAAGCACAGCATCTTGTTGTACTGCGCGACATGCTTGTGCAACAAGAGCCCGGTCCCAAGACTCCCAACGTGGTTTGGCGGCTTAACTAGGAGCCTCCAATGGTTAGCCCGGCGTTGGTACCCGGGTTGTATTGGGAACTCGAGGGACGAAGCCCGCAATGCTCCTCCAATAAGCCCTACCTCCGGTATCCGGTACCTTGGGGCGACATACGGTCGGCAAGCTGCGATCACTGACGTGTGCATGCACCGGACATACGCCGAGATGACGGCTTCAACTCCGGATCAAGATTGGTCGAAAAGCCGGGGTGGGTGTGTAAAAGCTGATTCATCGAGAGAGGCGTTCGTGCTGCCTGCATAAAAATAAGGTAAGGTTAGACTGGCATGTACAATGTAAATACGTCCACCAACAATTCGATATAGTTACAGCCCCAGCTTCCCGGAGTCAAGTCAGTTCTGTGTTTGCTTCGTGCCCCGCGGTTTGCCTCCGTTGTTGGTAGAGGCCCCGGGCTACACCGTGTACGTATACCGGTCGAGGTCTGGACGGGAAGGTCTGGATCGGCATCGGCACCTGGATCCGCCGGTCAAGCTTCCAATCGCACGACTGTTTTATCCACAACTTCCGTCAAACTGGGTGAGTACGGGAGGTATGTCGAGAGCGCTCAGTGCTTATAACCCGCTCGCCTCGTCGGATCACCAACGCGGTATCCCGGCAAGCCGGAGGCGCCAGAAGTGCCAGACAACCGCACTACGTACGTACAGGACATAGATCGTCCGCGCAAGTGCCCGACTGGTCCCGTGCTCAAACCCCCCAGAATCCTGGGGCGCATCTGGTGTGTCTGGTGCATCTGGGCTTTTCATGGGAGTTGAGCAGCCCAGATTGTGGGGCTATCGAACCCATAGTTATTCCCACCTCGTCGAGGGATAGTACCTATCCTCAGGTCACACGCGAGCGGATCGGATTTTGCATTTCGTGCCGCAGGAAGCACAAAAAGGAAAGTTGGATCCAGTGAACATGACTCGACCTTGAAAGTTCCAAGTTGTTTGGTTGGTGATAACTGCACCTGGACGGGAAACCAGCGGGAAACAGCAACCGCGAGGCAAGCTACGCGTGTAGATTGGCTGGCTGGTGGCTGGACTTCTCGAGAGAGTCTTCGGACCGCTCGCCTTGTGGCAAGTCCCGCTTTACGGATACACCACAAACGCGCAGAGTCCTGCAAGTCCTGCAGGCAAGGATCCTTGGATAGCCCACAGGAGCTCCATCCTTTTGATGAAGCTGCAAACCGCGGGGGCTGTTGGACCCCCGGCCTCCCGACGGGCAGCGATACTTCTATGCTTTCTCGATTCTTGACGAGTCCGCCTGAGATGCACGGCTCGAATTGCAGGCTGCTGAGTTTTCTTTTTTTCCAGTAAGACTTTCATAAGAATTCCCCGATACATACGCCTCGGGTTGCAACTGAGCGTTGGCGGGGCATTGAGATACTCATGCTGGGGGATGAACCCCCTTTTAAAACCAGCCCCAGAATCTGAGCTTGCTGCAACCCCTCTCCTGGTCCCAAGTCCCAAGCTCCCGAATCAATCGGCTGCCCGTGCGTCCTCGGCTTTGCCTGCAGTGACTGCCCGCGCTTCACCCATCCGATTCATTCTCCGGGTCCAGGCTAAGGTGCTTAACATACGCGCAAGACCTCCCTGGCTCACAGGAAGGCCAAAAGCTATCCTCACACTGGCCAGCAACCCCGGGTCGCCTCCACCATTCTCCATCGTCAAAAAGTCGCTTGTCCACCGCCATCGTTAACCACCTAATCCTGGCTGGTATTGCTGTCCCTCCTTCCTCCATTTGCAGCAACCACTTTGCAGCGAGGTTTCGTTGGACACCAAGATACCGCCGCCGCCTCGAATCGCCCCCAAACCGCGTTCGGTATCCCATTTTGTCCTCTTCCTGAGAGTCCAACGAGAGCAAAGCGCGCCTTCCGCCCCGTGCTCGGAAGCGTCACCCTTATTTTTTTTAGTGCCGCACATCAGGCCCCTCCCGGCTGATCCAAGCTCCCCCCCTAAGCCCAAGCTTGGTGGCACCTCCTCATTCCTTGCCCCCGTCCGATAACCACAACACAACATCATCGATTCCTCTCCCCCGACGCGAAACATCCACGGCGAAAAACACTGGCCAAGATGGCGGGCAAAATGGTTCTATACAAACTGGTGGTGCTTGGAGACGGTGGCGTAGGGAAGACGGCCCTCACAATCCAGCTCTGCTTGCAGCATTTCGTTGAGACAGTACGTTCTCATCCCTTGTGTTTCCCGCTTCCGTCCCCTCTCGGTCCCCGTTGCGGCCGTTTTGGATATTCGGCTCCCCGCTACGACGGTGTCTCTGCATAGGCAGCTCGCTAACCTGCGGCCAACAGTACGACCCGACCATTGAGGACTCGTATCGGAAGCAGGCCGTCATAGACAACCAGGCGTGCATGCTCGAGGTTCTCGACACGGCAGGGCAAGAAGAGTACACGGCTCTACGAGACCAATGGATCCGGGACGGCGAGGGCTTCATCCTAGTCTATAGCATTTCGTCCCGGTCATCCTTCACACGCATCAAGAGATTTCATCACCAGATCCAGAGGGTAAAAGAATCGACAGCCTCGTCACCCTCATACCCAGGGTCGCCGATCTCGGCTGCCAATCCGTCGGCACCAGTACCCATTATGCTCGTGGGCAACAAAAGCGATCGCATTGCCGAGCGGGAGGTTTCCACGCAGGAAGGACACGCCTTAGCGCGCGAACTAGGCTGCGAGTTCGTCGAGGCTTCGGCAAAGAATTACATCAACGTCGACAAGGCCTTCTATGACGTCGTGAGGATCCTGAGGAGACAACGACAAGCCGCTGCTCAACCAATCTCGCCCACTGGCAGTGGCAAGTATGAGTCGAGGAGGACGGATTCCAGCGTTCAATCGGAGAAGAGCCGGTATCGACGCGAGCGCGGCAGCCGCAGAGGGTGCACCATACTATGAACAAGGAGCCAACCTCTCTCGCCCGTCCCGCTCTGTTCACGGCCCATCCTCTCTTGCGGCTCGTGGCGACAATTTGCCCGGAGAAGAGAATCCGGGCCGTCTGTCGGGCGATGATCGCACAACCATCTCGAACCAAAATGCACAGTGGCAATCTTTTTACACCTTATTACGCCTTTCGCCACTCCGGTCTCTTCCGAATTTTTTAACTCATATCCCACCATTTTCTTTTCTTTTCTTGGACCAGAAAGATACCGATACCGATACCGATACCGATTCTCCCATACGGCGAATGGCGCATGGACCAAAAGAGGGATCATTGGGGCGTAAATATCCATCCTATGTTCGATGTATGGAGAGGGGTGCACTTCATTTCAATTTTTCTTTCTCCTGTTCCTGTTCTGTCTCTAGAGAAAGAGAAGAGCTTCCTCTGTCAGGAGACGCCTTTTGCTTCCATCTCAGAGGACTAGGACGGCTGCGGATGCCTATCCAACCTGGATGAGGAGGCCCGTATGGTGCATTGCATCTACGTCTCAAGGGGGGTTTCCGAGCCGTCCTCAGATGCGATGCCTACGGATAATCAGGAGGATGTTTGTGAAGACCTTACGACCAAGGAGTGCGCGCCATGCAACCTGGAGGCGAGCGATCAATGTGGAGAGCCTACATATGTTGGTGTCCCACACAGAGATTGGCAGAGTTTTTATCTTCCCGGACATCTGCTAGCTCAGCTATTTCAGGAAACCAGGAATCTTGATAGTTCAAAGAGGCTGTCGAAAGGTACCTAGATGTGCTTCCACAAGGACCGAAAAGGAAAAAAAAAAAGAACACAAATGAAATCCAGATCCCGCTTCTCCCCGCCTTGGATGTCGCTGTGAGGTCCGGCCCATGATTGACGCACAATGCCCTGGTCGCCCAAAAAGAGAGCCCATGCTCGCCCAGCGGGCCTGGGTCCCCGAGCGGCCAGGTGAGTTCCACCCGGATGCGCTCACGTTGCAGTAGCTTCAGGTATGGTGTGGTTTTGACGGCGAATCGTTACGTGGGACAACAGCTCCGCCGTAAACAGTGTGAGGAATTGGCCTTGGGTCGATGGCTGGTCGTCGAGGCACTTGCAGGGCTGGCAGGGAAGAGCAGGCATGAACCGGTGCTAGTGAGGTAGTTATCGGTAGTTTCTTGTGAGGGATTTTGTTCATCGCTTGGAGTTACTATCGAGAGATCGTGTCGCTTCAACAGCTCTACTGTTGCCCTGGGGTTCAAACGAGAACTCAAGGGCGACCTCGATGAACCATTCATAGGTCCAGGTCATTACAATGATATAATCTTCGGGCAGCATTACCTTATCTTTGCAAAGATTTCTAAACAGCGGGAATGGAAAAAACAGGCCTCTTGCTACGCAAGCATACTGGCCGTTTCTCCTGTCATCATCATCATCTCCAGCTTCTGCAGCACGGCAGATTTTTTGCTCCTGCAACCCACCTCCTCTCTCTCAAAAGTCTCAACATCATCAACAAACAGTCTTTGGGAACTCTGCGCGTCTGCCGGGCTCGAGCCGGGCCACCGAGTGGGGAATTCGGGTTCCCATCGAGCGTTAGCGGCAAGTCAACCCCACTTGGTGCGTCTTGGTGGGGTAGGATCTCCGAGCGAGCCCCTGGGTACCTCCACCATAGCCGGCCCCGGCCCGGCTCCCCCACCATAAAACGCCCGTTGATGTCGATACACTGACTGCGAAGCGCACAATGCTGTTGATGATGTTTGTTGGAGGATTAGAGGATTGCGAATCTTTGCCAAAGACAAACCCTGTTGAGACCTCGATTTTAGACCCTGCATGGCTCGACATTCGCTGCGTCTCCGAGTTTGATGTCGACTTTTGCCGGCCATCTGGTTGTCTCATGGTTTCTGCCAGAATCAGCTCGCTCGTTTCCAACCTGGAAGTATCCTTTATTATTGCACCGTCCCGTTGGACTGCTTCAACCGGAATGCCGGTTACAGAAAGACAAACTGATATCCCTCCTGCAGTGGTCATTTTCTCCTAGCAGAGTTCGGATCGTTGCAGTCCCGGACTCCTGGGCATCAGCATTGCGGCCGGCAGCAACCTGCCGTCCATTTGAGGTATCTCGGCAAGCAAGGGCAAACCACATCCACTCATGGCCTGAGACAAGCTGTGTTGGGCGGACTTTCTTACGCTGCCATCTGAAGGCTATATTGGACGAAACCAGAAGCCGATCTCTCTCTTGCCCGTGAGCAGTGGTAGGGTTACGGATTTCTTTCCTCGGGACGAAGCAGCACCTAGTTCCGGACTGCAATTCTCGCGTGCCAATAAGACATTGACATCGCAATCGCAATGAATAAGTTTTTACTACTCTTCCTAGCAGGTCGGCGGCGGTGGCATGTTCGGTTTGAACTAGGAGACTTAACCCAAGATGTGTTTAGCTTGCTGTAGGACGCTGGAAGCAGATCCCGCTAGCGAACGCCATCACGCAATACGGCGAATTGTCTGTGCTTGCATAGACCGGTCGACGGGATCCTTCGCTTTACCATTGACCCCATCTTACTCTCATGCAGTGATGCAGTCCGCGAGCCGACTCTGACCGGCTAATAAAGGAGTCAAAAATCTTTCTCCGTCGAAGAAGGGTCGGCAAGGATGTCAAGTGAAAACACCCGATCATAGCGGCCCTCAACGCTACGTATCTCGGTCTGGAACCCCATGTTCCCCTTGCTGATCGCAAAAGGATTGGGGATGGCTCATAATAAACAGCAGATAAGATCCTTTTGGGGATAACGCGCAGCGATTGCTTGCAGAATCGGGCAAGCCAGGGCCCAAGAAAATTGACTACCACCCTCCCTTTCACCAGCGTCTCTACCACAGTAATCCAGCAGGTTGACTTTTTGCTGAGATGACGTCTCCCTTTGCGTCTTTTTTTTTTCCTTCCGCCAACGGCGTTCCGGCGGTTGAGCTCTGCTCATCTGGTTATCCACGGGTCAGCACGGCTGCTCCCGACTTCACATCAACGGCCCGCAGGGGACGAACCTGTTCCTCACGGCAGACCCCAGATCCGTCAGATTTTAAATCTGATAACGAGCAGCAAAGCCACCCATGAGATTTTCACAATCGGAATCCAGCCGACCCTGGCCGTGTCAAGACGGAGCCGGAAGGTGAACAACACCAACCCCCCCGGCTCCCTGGCCTGTCTCAACGGCGGGCGCGCCCCGGCATTCGGGTTCGGCTCCGCTCCGGAATCTCAACCGCGCGCACATCACACCGCTCCTTGCTCGCCGAGATTCCCCCATCAAAACTCATCATCAAACTGCCTCCAACCCCTGCTTTCGTCGTTTTCGTTACCCCTTACCCACTTACCAAAAACCCAGGGACCTGGTCCGGAATCCGGATGGCTTCCCCGATTTCACTATGGACCCCTTCGGGACTTCTTGGGAGGAGTGCTAGGGGGAGAAAAAAAGGTTACCGAAGAAGTTCGAGTCCAGACTGCCATTCTCCCCATGATCCGGTTTCCCGAGCCCCTGGGAACACACTTCGGCTTTGCGTTCACTTTTGCGCGCCGGTGGTGGAAAGTTTCCCGGCGATCTGTGAAATCGCTAGTTAACGTTGATTAATGATACCTAGTGTAAACTGAAGCAAGTGCCGGGCGCCACCGGGGGTTCCCAAGCGAGTGGTCGCGTGGCGTTGTTTTGGCTGTTCGTTTTGTTTCCTCATGGCACGTGAAGTGGTTGCACAACTTTAACGCCGCGCATCTCCTGGGCAGCTAAGCTGCTTTTCGAAGTTATCGAGTGCCACCAGGTGATAGACTGTGTAGGAACTTAGGATTTGGGGGGCCAATGCATGCGCTTTACTCCTCCTAGCTAGGTACAGATCCCTAAGGTACGTACGCGCTTCTGGGTTTGTTGTGGGGGTCGAGGGCAAACACAGGAGGAGGTTGGGCAGTGGGATTTGCTGCTGTGGTGGTGATGTGATGGCGTGATGATGCCTCGCGAGAGTCACCACCGGCAGCGAAGATCGTCCTTGCCAAGGGGGCCAGAAAGGTGTGCCACTTGAACCCCCCACAAAACTGCCATTGTTTCACTGATACCGTATTCGCATCACTTCAGCTCTTCCGTTGCATGTGATATCTCTCCCTTTTTCCTCTTCTGTTGTCACCCTCCTCTGAGATAGTTACACCACTGGCAATCTCACCAGTCCGAGGTCGGATCGCACAGTGAGGTACTGTATCATACAGCACATCCTACCTTATGTCAGAAGGCCCAACCTCCCTTATTAACTATCCAACGTAGCCTATCTCCGAACTTGCTTGGTGAGCTCCCCGGGGTTCCTCTGATCATCGCCCAGGACCCATGCTACATACATACCTACACTACGAAGCGCCTCCCCCCGCCGCGCCAGCGCCCGCGCCTTCCCACAGGCGGTTAAAAGCTTCTCATGCAGGCGACGGAATGTCCTCCGGCCAACGGAGCCTTTCCCCGGGGCAAATCCTTTCGCTAATACAGAATCGTTCTGGGTTGTTGGATCGACACTTTGATCTCTCCCCTCCCCCCCAGCCCCCCGGCATGCCTATCCGTATCGAGCACGGTAACTACAGCTAGTACACAGTTATTACAAAGGGAATAGGAAGGGTGATGATCGGCCGCTTACCCGCCGCGGTTCACTTCTTTTCATCTTATGTATTAACCACAAACCGGGCACGAGGGGGGTGCGGGCGAGGGTGCTATGGGGAGGAGGAAGGAAGGAAGGGAGGGAAAAAAGCACCTGCTCCGCCTCGCTCGCTCGCTTCTGGGTTGGGTTCGGGCCGCGTCTTGTCGTTTACGTTAGTTAGTGTTAGGTAGTGTGTGTGGATTAACTGGGTAGGTACCAGTAGTTAGGATGGATGGGATGGGTTAGCTGCTCGTGCCGATCAGGGTCTTCTTGCCACTTGTAACTGTAGGTATGCCCGTGTGGGCTCGTGATATGGGATCGCTCAGGTATGATGTATCGTGCTAATAAGCTTCGTTCCGAATGTAGGGGGCCTGGATGGACCTCTCACCTTCGATCCATTCATCACAGTATCTCCCTGGATGCTACTGCCCGGGCATGTGTGTGTGTGCGTCTGTGTGTGAATTCGACAGTGAGAAACGCTGACGAGAGTTTTAGCATCGGGCAAGTGGCTGAAGTGGCTGCGTAGTTACCTAGTTATACGAGACTCCCTCATGTACGGAATACACCGACACTAGTTGAGGCTTATGGTTCACCTCTGTAAGGAGACGAAGTTTAGAGT